TGCAGCAGGAAGCAAGATCCCTAATGAACACCCTGCACAGCCTCTGACTGACCACTCTGTTGAGTGTCCTTACTAACATGCTGATCATTCTGTCCAGACCTAAGATCCTCGTTCCCAGGTGTTGCAACACCAGGTATCTCCCCAAGTCTCTCCTGTAGCACCATCAGATCATATATATCAGATAGCAGGCTCAGCCTTTGCATAAATCTTTTATGGTAGTAAGAGCTGAATTTGAAAACTAGAATGGTCATATTAGTCCATTTAGGCCTTCTCCTTTTGTCTGAATCAGGGTTCAAATATGAGTGTTATCAATAGGTATAACTTGGTATGGGAAACATGCTTGCCAATTAGCAAAATAGACAAAAACCAGTTATCAAAGCATATCAACATTTCAAAATCACCTTGAGGGACGCATTCTCAGAAAGTAGCTGCTCATACTCGCTCCTTATCCGACTCACTTCTGATCGGAGAGTGGCATTTTCATCTTTCAAACCTTCAGCACGCTGTGCTAGTTCATCACATTCGGCCTGAGAACAGCAAACACAAGAAAATTGAAATATGAAATTATGATCTGCATCCAAAAGTACGAAAAAGGTTATAATCTCTGTCACCTGTTTGCGTAACCTGGATCTGCGTGCAGACTCCCTATTAGACTGCTTCCGCCTTTGTCTTTTGAGCTCTCTTTCGTCCTAAAATTAACCAGAAAGGATGAAGTTTAAAACAAGAGTTTAGTGAAGTAATAACCAATAATGCAACAAGAAAATGACCAGTTGACAAAGTTAACCTGTAGCCAAACTTGTGGCTGAACACCATCTCGTGACCCAGTAGTAATCATCCCTCCAGCAACTGCAGCAGTAGAAGGAACCTTTCCGTGCAGTGCAGGAATGGTTGATGAATTCGGGGTGCCCCAATAATCCATTCCTATATTTAAATTAGTTGTGGGACCTGGAACTGCCCCAGGAGCAGTTGCAGTAGATATAGGTATGATAGACATAGTTTGGTTAACAACTGTCTTAGCTCTATTATGTACCCCATTTTGAGGAGTATGTACTGAACTTCCATTTTGAGATGGTTCATCTGTAATACAGCAAACCATGTATTTCAGGTGTAACATGCATACTTATTGATATAAAAAACGCAACACAAATAGAAAATATTTCCAAACATAATCATGTCAGACCTTCAAAAGAGTCCTGCCTCTCTCCGGATTTCAATTGAGAGTCCTACAAAACCCATTGAAATAAATACCCAGGGTACCAGACAGTGGAAGAGAACAAAACACGCACAAAAATAAGAAAAAGGCAGAATCCAAAATAACATTTCTAAATATCAGTCAAAACCTTCTTAAGATTCTATAGAAGTAGACCCTTTTGTTTCAAACATGAACATTGTTAGGAACCAAGAACTAGGAAAGAGAAAGAAAAGAAATAAATTTATTGAATTGAATCAATATATCACAAAATAAGGGAGAAATATCTCCAAGGGTTTTCCCTTCACAAAGGATTTCTCCTTTCACAAAGAGCTGAAGCTCAATTTACAAATGAAAATATATGAATCTCCCCCTCTACCAAGTAACCTCCAGTTTATAGATATAGGCCTGGCTCATGATATCCTTCTTATTAATGACCACTCTAATTCCCTTTATTCTATATACTAACAAACATATTACACTAAGTATGGGTATAAACCTCAACAACTTTTGGAATAGATATTTATCATAAATGAGCCTGATGAGCATTTAAATAATAGTAATATTTAAAGCTTTGGAACATATATTAATTCATATATCCTATTGATCAGTTCAATGGTAATTGCAATTAATTAAAAAACCTAGTAATATATGAAGCTAATCCAACGTACAACAAAATAAATGTTTTCAAGTTTCTGGGAGATTTTTATTTGATGGGCATGTTTAGTCTTGGGGGAATCAAGAGGTTTTGGGCCACAGGATAAAGAATCTGTTAGGAACCAAGAATTAGGAAAGAGAAAGAAAAGAAAGATTTTATTGAATATGTTGAAAAGAACACAAAATAGGAGAGAAATATCTCCTCCAAGGGTTTCCCCTTCACAAAGGATTTCTCCTTTCACAAAGAGCTAATGCCCAATTTACAAATGTGAACAAATCTAAATGACTTCCCTCTACCCAACAACCTCCTATTTATAGATGTGATGGGCCTAGCCCATGCTATCTTTCTAAAAAATAACTATTCCAATTCCCTTTATTCTATATCCTAACAATACCACCCCGTGAAAATCAACCTTGTTCTCAAGGTTGGAATCTAAAAACTAAAAAAAAAAATTGACATAAAAACACTTTGTAGTTGGAACTAGGGATGACAAAAATATTCGTACTTGCAGATATCTGTAGATAAAATCCGTTATGGATAATAAATGAGTAACCTAAATGGATATCCGCGGGTAACGGGTACATATATTTTTTTACCCATTTATAAACAAGACAGGGGCGGATACATTAGTATCCATACCCACTAAATAATATTACTTAAACATTCATATTTTTATCTTGCATTTTTTATATTATTTTAAATATTTAGAAAAAATTATCATTAATTACAAGTTCAAAAAATAATATCAATTGTTTATCTTTAATATTTCAATATACTTAACATCAAATATAAGTTTAAAGTTATTTATAATACCTTTTTTTAAAAAAATTTAAAATAATTCACAAATATCCATAGATATCCATGGATACATGTGCGAGTATGGGGCAGATTTTTATTTGACGTGGCAAGTACAGGTATCCTATTACTCGCCTCCATGGGGCGCCATTGCCATCCCTAGTTAGGACTAAAGCAAAACAACACCCCTAAAAAAGCTACTTTTCCACAGGTTTGGACTATGCCAATTAAATTGAAATTGGACCCACTTTGTAGAATTCCAAATTTGCCCCTTCCTCTTTCTCATCCTCCTGAGCCGAATCATTTACTCTAACAGAATGTCTCTTTGTTGTCTATCAATGGTGGATCAGCAGCAAACCCATTGGCCACTACTTGCAAACCCATGTCTGGCGGCTTCAATGGTAATGGAGATGAGGGTGGACTTCATATAACTTGAATCACAATAGCTGCCTTCATATTTTCCTTTTGCCTTGGATCCATTGTCATGTTGTCATCCATAGATGCAATGATGTTTAATGATGAAGGCTCACCTAGAAAATGGTCTTCCCACCACATAGAGTGTTGTTCTTGATTATTTAAACTTCTTTATTTCTGTTTTCTAAGTTCAAGAATTGCAACGGGTTACTCTTACACCTTAGACTGCTAACCTTACTGTTAATTCTCTATTCTATGCTTCCATCAAAGGTGAGTAACTCCACTTCTTTTTCCCAAGAATGCACCAGATCACCTCTGCAATCTGACTCACTGCCTTTGATGTTTTTTGCATTTTTCTTGAATCTATCCAGAACTTGGTTTCTGGTCCCATGTCTTCTATCAAGTCCTGTTTTTGCAGTAGGTGATCAAGATCCTCATGACACTTATCTTTTTCCTAAAGTTGTGTTGTGATCTCATCAATGAGTTTCTTGATTACTAAAACCTCATCGAGTCTCTTCTTAATCTCAGATTTTTCGCCACCATAATTATTAATCTTCAAACTTTCTTTTTCCCTTTACCTTTCTTGCTTCAAGAATCTTCTGATCAATGATGTGGAGAATGAATCTCAATCAGAATCTAGGTTCTTTTGGCTACAAAAGTAGAACCACCGCATTGTCACTCCTTCCACTCATAAAAACATATTGCAACTTATGGAAAGCATGAATTTCTTGCACTTCAAAGAATTTCTCAGCCTTAGCAATCCACCCCAATGGGTCTGTACCCATAAAGACTGGCAGCTTCCCCTTGGCCCAAATATGTGCTTCCTCTATCTCTAGCAACACTAACTCCCCCTCAAAGATCCAGTAGGTTGGACCAATTGTTAGGAACCAAGAATTAGGAAAGAGAAAGAAAATAAAGATTTTATTGAATATGTTGAAAAGAACACGAAATATGAGAGAATTATCTCCTCCACTGGTTTCCCGTTCACAAAGGATTTCTCCTTTTATAAAGAGCTAATACTTAATTTACAAATGTTAACAAATCTGAATGACTCCCATCTACCCAATAACCTCCTATATATAGATGTGATGGGCCTAGCCCATGATATCTTTCTAACTAATAACTATTCTAATTTCCTTTATTTTACATCCTAACAGAATCTTAGTAGTGGAATGAAAGTGTTCAAGGTCAGAAACAAAAGAGCGTTTTGGTGAATACCAAAATAGATATAAGCTTACCAAGAATAAAGAAAGGAAAACAAGATATTTAGACCAAGCAAGACCTATTATGGATGAAGGGAAAGTTTTGGTGAAAGACCAAGATATCAGAGAGATATGGGAGAAATATTTTTACAAGTATCCAATGATGGACAAGGATTGATTTGTTATATGGAAGAATTAGAAACCTAAGAGGATCATAGAGAATCAATTTACCTTTGTATCAGGGAGGTCTACTACAAAAGTCATTTATCTTTTACAAGGGTTGATGGAAAGGTACAAAAGCAAAGCAAGAGACTTACATATGGATTTTCTTGAAATTGAAAAAGCTTATGATCGAGTTTCAAGAAAAGTATTATAGAACACTGTGGAAAGGTGTTCGCATAGCTTACAAATGGGCTATATGAGACGTGTATGATAGGGGTAACTACTAACTACTTGTTTGAGATCTCCAAAAGGGAAGACTAAGGACTTTCCTACATGTATGATGGGGGCTCACCCTTAAGTCCTTGTTTTAATCTAGTCATGGATGTGCTTACCAAGCAGATACAAAAGATAATCCCTAATTGCATTTTTTTTGCAGCTGATATAGGTTTGATCAAGAATCATAGGAAATAATTAACTTTAAATTTGAGATTTGGAGACAAACTTTGGAAACAGAGTTTTTGCTTGAGTAGAGGTAAAGTATATGCATTGCAATTTTAGCATGAGATAGGATGCAAAAGGAATATAAATTGGAATATGGGAGATGTCATACTACATGTTTCTATATTTAGATATTTAGGATCTATAATACAAAATGATAGGAAAACGAATGAGGATGTTACACACAATACAAGTGAGATGGCTACAATGCTACAATGCAACAAGAGTAATTTGTGGTTGCAATGTACCTACCATGGATATTGAATCAAGATTCAAATCGTGAATTGGAAGAACTATTTTACAAATCGTGAATCGTATTGTATTACGAATAAAAACATAGTATTTTAACAACAAAAAAAAATAAGACACATAAAACAAAAGTGGTGAAAAATAACACGTAAAACTGTAAAAGATTAAAGGGTAAAAGTCAAAGAAAAACAAAAAAAAAAAAGGGTTAAAAAAAAAAACTAAAAACTAAAAAAAATAAAGGGGAAAAAAAAAAAAAAAAACTAGTTAAGAAAACAAGATTTAGGAAAAAGAAGAGAAAAGTAATTCTTTACTTTAGAAGTAAAACTCATGTTTTGGGCACATGACATGAATAGGAATTGAATTAAATATTTCCTTTATGTATCAGGGTCTACAAAAAAGCTAAAACTGCACACCACTTATTGGGTTGGGTTCATGTTACATTTAAGTTTGAAGAGAGAAACAGTGCAGATGCACCATGTTCTATTCTTCAAGTATAAAGGAAAAATTGGGCAGTTAAAAATTGAAGGCCAAAGGTTAAAATCGAAGAGAGACACATGTGAAACTGATTTTCGGCAGTTTCCCCCATTTTCTAAAAGAAATTTTGAAAAAAGCGCCCAAAATGTTTTTTTTTTTAAAATGGGTCACACAACCCGACCCAATTATTTTTACTGTGAACCTCACATTCAAAATCGTCAATACAGTTTCAGCATTGCAAATCACTGATTCAGATGCTATTCATACTATACATCTCCGACTCATGCTTCAAAACAATACAGCAAGCGATTCATATCATGGGGCTTTTTTTGTTGCGTATCAAGATATGAATAGTATGATTCATCCCAATAACTGCACTGGTACCTACAACGAGAAAAAGGGCCAAAAGAAAAAGGTGGGAATAGCAAAAGTGAGAATGTTAAGATAGATGTGTGGTCACAAAACAAAGGATGGGACACAGAATGATTGTATACGAGAAGATATTGGTGTAGCATCAATTGAGGAAAAGAACATAGACAATCAGTTGGCAGTTTGAACACATAAAGCAGACCACTAGAGGCACCAATAAGGCAGGTAGATTGTAGGCTTTAGTCTTGTGAAAAGGGAGAGGGAGACCAAGAAAGACATTGAGGGGGGATCTCATGCTTAATAATATTTTCTTATTTACAAAACTTTTCAGAAGCTGCGTTTATACCCCTAGGAAACAATTTATATCAGGTAAAATACGGTTACTTTTCAGAATTATACCATGCCCAATTACTGCTGCTAGAATAGCACAGAATTATATTTTGGTGGTCTAGCATATTTTTATGTCATTCAGACATCACTTTCCAGAATAAGCATGCAAGAGAGCAAACATGGATGTAAGGTTTTCATCACTTGGTTAGATAAATATTAAAAAGTGGCACAGAACTTACATTCTGGGAATTCTCATCAGTTCCTTCGCTAGTAGCTTCACTTGCACTCTCACCACTGCAAGTTCAAATTTTCTTTAGTATAGTATAGCCAGTTTGCAATTGCAAATGGCAAGCAACTCAAGGGACTTAGACATAAACCATACACTGCCAGCCCTACCAATATATTTCCTGCAGTAGACAAGCCAATAAAGTCCCAATATTTAAAATTTTAAAAAAATGAATATAGTGAGGTTTCCCACTCTAGTCTTCTAAAAATCAAAACATAAAGAAAGTCCAATAAGCAAGCTTTCAAGCTGTTTTAAACACCTGCAATACTAGCATAGCTAAAGAAAGTCAAACCAAATTCCTAGGTTTATTTTTATGTCCTACAGGGACAGAAAAGCAACTCCACAACTTGTAAACAATTCATGATTACATATCAGAAAAAAACAGGTTTGCTGCAGAATGGGCAAGGATAGTAACCAAGAAAGCACGGGTAATTCCAAATACTATCTGGATAATGTTGTACCTGTGTCAGATACTTTTATTTTTAAATAGTTCACAGACACTTAAATTGGTGCACTTTTTCAAATACTTTACATTTTATTTTCAATTTTTAAACCAGTAAAGATAAAAATAATAATAATAATAATAATAATAATAATAATAATAATAAAATTATTATGTCTACAATGGCTCATTATCATATTTTAAAACATTATCTTGCTTGATTTAATATGTTTTTTATGTTAAATTTGTATTAGTTTTATACATTGTATTATAAATGTATAGTGAGCAAGCATTCTATGTTTTTTTTAAAATTTTCCATATCCCATGCCATATCCATGCTTTCCATATTGCCAGATTATTTTGATTTGTTGTTGAGGTTGAGTGTGTAGTGGCAGTAATATTTTCTGGAGGATAGGCAAATAGTGGTGCAGCATGTTGTGGTTCAGCAAGTGGTATAGTGGCTATTGGCAATTGGGTGAATGAATCTGTGTTTGACTTGGATTATAAATGAAAGGGTGGGGAAACCGTTTCATTAAAGACAACATCCTTTTAGATGACAATTCTGCCAGATGAAGTTAGACATTTTGTAACCTTTATGCATAGTTGAATAGCCCAAAAAATCACATAATTGATATCCGATGTCCAATTTGTGCTTGTTGTATGGTCGAAGCAGCAGATAACATGAACAGCCAAACACTCATAAGAAATTGCAGTCTGGTAATTGCTTGAACAATAGCTGATAGGGAATGCCAAAATGCACTGACATATATGGCAACCTATTGATTAAAAACTGCTGCAGCAAAGGCATGATCCCAATAATCCATGGTAGAAGAAGTATTTGATGTAGAAGAGTCAGTCCAAGCTCCACAATGTGTCAATACTTTCTTTCAATGACACCGTTTTGATGATGCGTGTGAGGACAAATGACTCTATGTAAATACCAGAATCTTTTAAGCTATGAAGCCCGAATACTCCAAAATGGAAAAGTATCGGTGTCGTACCCGTACCAGAAACCGATATGGCTCAGATGCGCTAGGATACATTTCCAAGGAGTATTCAATTATTTTTTATTTATTTTTTTTAAATTATTGGATACGGCAATAATATGGCTTTGATATGACTCACAATGGTTGGATACGGCTTGGATGCATTTTTTTACCCAAATGTCTATTTTATCAATATTTTAAAATTTTATTTTTAGTTTTACAATTTTTAAAAGGAAAAAAACCTTTTAAAAGTGAATATGTGTACTCTACACGACAAAGACACATTTCACGCAAAACTCCATTCGTCGATCTCTCTTTACATATGTGTTTTCTCCTTCTCCCAACTCTACATATTCTGGTGATGATTCTAGTCGATGGGTCTCTTCCCAACAACTTTCTCTCAAGCGGTACATGATATTTTCGACTCTCCCTTCAAGCAACAACCTTTCTCCTTCCCAGCGTTTCTGCACATTGGTTGTTGATGGAAGTGATCTAGATGGACCATAGTATGAAGTTTGTGGATTGCCCTACTAATGAAGAGGAACAGAGAAGCCTAGTGATGCAAAGAAATGATTCTAGTAGGAAAATTTGTGTGGTTGTCAATTTTGTTGATATGTTGCAGCAACGGCATAAGCTAGGTCAAAGCGATGATAGCAGTTGATTTCGGAGTGTCCATACTTCGAACATACTTGACATTGAAGAGAGGAATGTCAACCTCGTGACCTTCCTCGGCCAAAGTGACCACCTCCACAACCATGACTTACTCCACGTGCATCAAAAGTGTAGTTGTCATCGTAGGAATTGCAAGGAACCTGTGAAAAATTCGCTCGAGTTGTTTTTGAATTATGCGAGAGTTGTTGTTGCATATTGGATCATGAGGATTGATAGACACTGAATCAATCACCGCATGTTTGTTGTACTGTTTGATGCGAGCTTCATGTGCAAGAAGAAGCACTCCAACATCTGAAACTTGTAGTGGAACTAATTTGTTGCTGATTAGGGTTACCATTGACTCATAATCATGTCGTAAACCTTGCAAAAAGAACCTCGAGGTGTTCACGCAATGTAACAAGATTGCCAATTGATGAAAGACAAATTACAAGTGCTTTGACTTGCACCAAGAACTCGGCCATGATTTTTCCTTCAAGAGTAGTACTCATGTAGTTTCTCCCAAAGTTCCCAAGAATGTACACAACCTATGATTTGTGTGAGTATGCTGCTTGTGAGTGTTGTTTGTAACTAAGAAAGTAACCATTGATCTTGCTGCTCCCATGCTTGATAGGCCAGATTAACGAATTTGTCAGCACAATCATCTTAGGTGAGAAAAGGCAATAGAATATGAGGATTCTCACTAGATAGGAATGGAGACAATGACCTTTGATGACTGGTTTGATTTTTTGTCGCCACAGAAGAAAATTATCTTATGTGAGCTTTTCAGTGATTGAATGAGAAAAGGTAAGGGGCACTGACGGTGGTATTTTTGGAACCAAAGAGGAGAGTGGCAGGGACGGTGGTGGATTTGAAGTTTCCACCATAAAAGAAGAGATGAAAAGAAAACCCTAGGCTCTAGTCTCTTGATACCATGTTCGAATACTAAATTGTATAAAATAGGCTCTAGACTTTAAAGTTGTATATTGCTGAAATTACAGAATGTACAATTGGTGCCTACTCTTTGTGCAAGAGTCTTATTAATAATAAAGAGATAGGCTCATGACTGGTTGTTATCTTATAACTGACTTGTTAGTCAGTTATAACAATCCAAACAATAACAGAAAAACAAACAAGTTTGAGTTTACACCAGAATATTAACAAGATACTGAAAATACGGGGAAAATAAAATTTAGAAATGATATTCTCTTACATGATTCAAATAACAGGCCTTAATTCAACAACTACATTGATCAATACACCACATCTTACCTTTTGGAATGAATCCCATTAGCAGATTCTCCTGGTGTTTTACCAAGTTCATTATTTTTCCCTGTAATCCACATATTCAAACTACCCGCACTGGCACTTCCTTTTGATCTTTTGATTGGTAATTTTTCCTTCACCTCAGGAGGTTTACCACCAACTTCAATGCCGCCTGGGGTATTTCCCTGCATGTCAACTCATAGGTTACTTTTACTTGGATAAAGACAACTACTGCACAGGAAGCAGAAAAGACAGGAAGAGACAAAAGAAAGAGCAACAGAATGCACAGCAGGAAAAAGCAGAAGGCTAAAGAACTAACCGTAGCATCTGCAACACCATTTGGAGAAGCCATGGCAAAAGGACTGAAAGGATAAGATCCCTAAATAAATTGATAGAAATACATAAATATTGGTTAATGAATTCAAAATTATGTTGAATAATTACAATATAATATCCACAAGAAAGCATTATCTATAAAGAATACCGGAGGAATGGATGGATGAGCATATATGCCACCATGGGGATACATTGCAACATAAGGATGTGGTGGGGTGCCATAGGGAGGCATAATATGCTGCAAGTACATATTACATCAATGAACCAATGGAAATATGTGGGAGAATTTAAATGATAAGCATTCAATAGTATATGAGAAACAAGTGTTAATAACTCGTTTCAGTTTAACAGTGACAATATCTTGTCAAGGAAAAGCAACAACTATCTATATTTTCCATTGGGCTACAGTTGAAGTATAACAGCCAAAATATTGATAACAGCAGAAACAACGATAATGATAACAACATGATAAGTTTTGCCAAATCCCTTCAGATTTCTAAGACAACTGTAAGGATAAGATATTCTAAATTATTGCACCAATAAGATTGACCAATCATTATGCATGGAAAAATACCTGGACACCCCACATATATGGGTGGGCTTGGGGACTTGATGCCAAGAACCCATGTGGAGGTATAGGAGAATATGTCTGTACAATGAAGGAATTGAGGTTCAAAATCCAATCTTGACAACAATAAAAACACAATATGCCAACTAAGACTTTTTCATAAAAAACCTGAAAGTTAGACCAGTCAGGATTCATTGTTGCCATGGGAGTTGTTGAAGACTGCTCCTGAAGAAGACGACAAAAAATTGTTCGCATCACATTAAGAACTTAACTGTCAATATCGACAAAGCAAAAGAAACTCAGATAAACCTGTGACGTAGCTGGAGGTGTCTTAGACTCCTTCTCTTTTGGGGTTTTGTCCATGTCACTACTACCCATGCTTTCATATAGGAATCTTCTAATAATTTACACTAAACAATTCTGCACCAAGAACAAAACTTACATCACAAGGAGCCAAAGGGACACGGATACCACTCTCCCGCGAATAACTAATTCCATAACTGAAAATTCATGCCAGTGAGACAATACACTTCAAAAACCTGTTTCCATGTTGAACTATTCTACACAGTTCTAGTATTTATACTTCATGAATAGACTATATTCACAGGAAATCAACCAATGTATTATTCCTTTTTCCCTCAAACAATTCTGCATAAACCAAAATCCATTTTTTTATTTGATTTTCTCCTATACTTCCTCCAAACCAGCATAGTACTGGCAGGTCCTGTTCATCACTATCCCAACAATACCACATTTGTCTCCACCTAAATTGACTTGGCTACAATAATCAAAACTCTAATTTAAAAAACAAAAAAAAACTCAGAAAAAAAACACACACACAGTGAAACTCATACAACCCACCAATTTAGCACTTTGAATAATTGAGATTCTCGAGAAGGAGCTTTTAACTGCAAATCACAGCTCAGAGCGACACAAAGCTGAAGCAGAAGAAGCAAGTCAAAACTTGATACATGGGGCCGTGGAACCGAAGCCACAGTTTTAAATAACTAAAATAAAATGGCGAAAAACGAAGGAATAATTTTGGAACTGTGTCGAAGGAGAATTTGTATGGGATATGAGCAAGAAGGCGAATTTGTGATGGGAGGAGAAGAAAGATTTGGGTAATGATCACAAATTAGGGTTCGTTTGGTTTAGGTTGTTAAGGGGTGCGGTGGTCCTGTGATCTTCGCGGTGAGGAACCAATGGGCAGTGATGTACGGTGTTGCTGTCCCGTGGCAGAGATTTCGTTACTGCTTCGATTTTGAGAAGAATGAAAGTGAATGCCCGTTTACTCCTTCTGACACTGTGCTCCTAATTTTTTATTTAAATCTTTTAAATTGAGGTGTATATAAGGGAAACGTATAAGAAGAAGCAAGCACTAGTTTGCCTCGTTGGATAAATTATAAATAAAAAAACTGGTTGAGATTTCTTTACCGGTAATTTATAATAAATTTATGGCTAAAAACCTAATTTGGTCTCTTACAATAATTTTTTGTTTCAATTTAGTCTCATTTTTATTTTTGGTTTTAATTTGGTCCCAAACTAATTAATTAGTTTCAATTTAGTCCCAAATTAATTAATTGGTTTCAATGTGGGACTTCCGTTCAAATTATTTAAACGGAGTTAACTTTTGGTCACGTGGATGCCAAGTAGATGCATACGTGGATGGAACGTGGATGAGAATTTTTTGAAAATACCTGGACCCAGAACGGCCCGTTCTGAAACCGGAACGGGCCGTTCTGGTTTCAGAACTGGTCGTTCCGATTGTCAGAAAGTTAAGATAGAACACCAAAAAACTCCCAAATTTACGCGACCTTTAGACATCCTAATTTGGAAATAAGATTTTGTATTTATGGACTTAGTTGTAGTTATGTATGATATTCTTAAGAAATTTGATTTTATGGATAAGCTTACCGAGATTGCGCACCTTGTACTTATGAACATTAGATGTTTCTTAGAGAGATTGATAGAGTTGTACATCAATAAGGTAGTAAGTGCTACATGGGAATTAGAAAGCAAGGTGTTAGAAGCTTATCCATTTCTATTTTCAGGAAAATTTCGGGGACGAAATTTCTAAAAGGAGGGGAGAATTGTAACACCCTGAATTTTCTTGTTGATTATTATTTATTAATTAAAGGGGTTTTATAGAAGTTTGTATTAATTTAAAATTATTTATGAAAATTTTTATAAATTCTATTTTTTTAGGCTGGAACGGGCTGTTCCAAAAGTGGAACGGGCCGTTCCAGATAATAAAAATAAGTTGTTTTTGAGGGACCAGAACGGGCCGTTCCAAAAGTGGAACGGGCCGTTCCAAAGAAGAAAAGGACCCATTTTTGTATTTCCAGAACGGGTCGTTCCCAAAGGGAAACGGGCCGTTCCAAGGTTATGAAATTGCCTAAAGACCTTAGTTGGAAACGGGCCGTTCCAACTATGGTCAATCAGTGTTAACGTAAACTTCAGAACGGGCCGTTCTGCTTTTTGAAATGGCCCGTTCTGCTTTTTGGGAACGGGTCGTTCCGATTTTGGAACGGGCCGTTCCAATTGCTAAATTTGCCTATGTTCGAAGGATCCAGAACGGGCCATTCCGAATTCAATACGGGCCGTTCCGGGGACCCCAGGATGCCTATAAATAGAGACTGAAGGGGGGTGAAAAATTATAACTGAGTGAAAAGTGAAAATTCTAGAGAGAGTGAGAGAGAGAGAAAGAAAGAAAGAAAGAAAGAGAGGGAAAGAAGGAGGGAATCCAGAGGAGGAGGCCCTGCTCAAGTTTCAACTCCGCTTATCCAGGTAATGGGGGGAGTGAGAAACCTCGCTCAGGGGTGTGGGGATAATTCTTGGATAGTTTGTTTGTCGGATTGGCCCCCAATCCCTTGCCGTTGTTCTGTCTTATTTTCTGTTTGCTCTACATTATTTCTTGTTGGAAATAATAAATGATTATGTAATCTCAATCCCTTGCTGTTGTTCTGTCTGATTTTCTATTTACTCTACTTTGTTCTTTGTTGAAGGTGCCGTTGTTCTATTTGATTTTCTATTTACTCGACTTTGCTCTTTGTTGAAGGTGTCGTTGTTCTGTTTGATTTTCTATTTACTCTACTTTGTTCTTTGTTGAAAGTAATAAATGAATATGAAATTAATGTTAATAATAAATGAGTTTTAATATGAACAAGAATGCTCTCTGGATCTCTGTAAATTCCTGTGCGAACCTTATGAGGAGTATTTATGACATGATCATGTGAAATATGGACAAATGACATGAGACCTAAGAATGGACTATTGAGACAAACTATGATTATGAGACTATGACAAATAATGACATGATGTACTAAATGAAATTATGTAATAAGTTAAATGTTGAGTCAATGAGATTATAAATGTATGACATGCATCATATGCATATATTACTCCAGGTGTGCCGTTGAGGCCGCATACCCACGACTAACAAGGTGTACCTTATGGTCACCCACGATTAACAAGGTGTACCTTAGGGTCACCCACGATGTAACATGCTAACAAGGTGTACCTTGGGCCGTTCCAAAGAAGAAAAGGACCCATTTTTGTATTTCCAGAACGGGTCGTTCCCAAAGGGAAACGGGCCGTTCCAAGGTTATGAAATTGCCTAAAGACCTTAGTTGGAAACGGGCCGTTCCAACTATGGTCAATCAGTGTTAACGTAAACTTCAGAACGGGCCGTTCTGCTTTTTGAAATGGCCCGTTCTGCTTTTTGGGAACGGGTCGTTCCGATTTTGGAACGGGCCGTTCCAATTGCTAAATTTGCCTATGTTCGAAGGATCCAGAACGGGCCATTCCGAATTCAATACGGGCCGTTCCGGGGACCCCAGGATGCCTATAAATAGAGACTGAAGGGGGGTGAAAAATTATAACTGAGTGAAAAGTGAAAATTCTAGAGAGAGTGAGAGAGAGAGAAAGAAAGAAAGAAAGAAAGAGAGGGAAAGAAGGAGGGAATCCAGAGGAGGAGGCCCTGCTCAAGTTTCAACTCCGCTTATCCAGGTAATGGGGGGAGTGAGAAACCTCGCTCAGGGGTGTGGGGATAATTCTTGGATAGTTTGTTTGTCGGATTGGCCCCCAATCCCTTGCCGTTGTTCTGTCTTATTTTCTGTTTGCTCTACATTATTTCTTGTTGGAAATAATAAATGATTATGTAATCTCAATCCCTTGCTGTTGTTCTGTCTGATTTTCTATTTACTCTACTTTGTTCTTTGTTGAAGGTGCCGTTGTTCTATTTGATTTTCTATTTACTCGACTTTGCTCTTTGTTGAAGGTGTCGTTGTTCTGTTTGATTTTCTATTTCATTTTACCCTTGTATTATGGGGTGTTTTAGATCATAGGTTTTTAATTTTGGGCTAAGGTATTTAATTAGGGAGCTAGACACATTTTTGGTGGTGTTTGGACCTATTTTTGGACTTAGAAAGGCTTAGGCCCAAGTGGAGGGCAAAGGTTGCATGGTCTTATCATGCACCTAGATGTAACCTAACTAAACCCAAAGATTCCATCCTTGGCCACCAAGTTGCATCTAGGGTTAATTTGGGTTTCATTTGGTGTGCATTTGGCACCCTAAATGCAACCCTAGATGCCTCCCACTCCTATAAATACCCTAGGCACCACACCTTGTAAATACTTTGAATATTGAATATAAAGAGAGCCTTTTGTGCCTTTATATCTTTCCTTAGTCACCTTTGGCTATTTTCGGCCAAACCCTACCATCTCCACCTTGAGAGACACAGCCCTAGAAGTGGCCTTCATCATCATGAAGTGAGCCAAACCTAGAGTACTCTTCTCAAGCATTTCCTCAAACACCTTCTACCCAACCTCCATTTTCGTCCATTCCATCATCATCCACCTTAAAACCTTGTGCCACCTTTGAAGAACTTGATCCTTGGAGTAGGCATCATCTTCCTTTGCTCATCATCTCATGTTCATGCAAGTTAGGATTCCATCATGTGGTATCTAGAGCCTATGTTCTTCAAGGGTAACTTCTTATTTTCCTTTTGTATTTCCGGTCATGTTCATGTGTCTTCTTGGATAGATGACCTTAGGGATCAATTAGTGAATGTCGTGTGCTTAGTGAGAGTGATCTAAGGGTATGACATGATCATATTGTAGTTGAGGCTGGAGATATATCCAAGACGGTTGTATTACTACGTTATGTTATTTTATTTTATTGTATGAGATATGTTTTCTAGTTGCTGTAAATTCCAGTTGAGGTAAACATGGATCTGTCTCAGGTAGAAGTTGTGTTTAAGTGGGGAGATATCTAAGCTAGCTAGTGAGGATAAGAGTTTATGAGGTTAACTTGTTATTAATGGAGATTTATTGAAGGAATTTCTAGGATAGCATTGCCCTTAACTACATTCACTAGGAGAAATATTGTCTTTATGTGGAATAGTAAGTGTGAGAGTATTTTCCAAACTCCTAAGAAAAATTGACTAGTGTTAACATTACCGGACTCTAGTAAGTCTTATGTGGTATGTAGTAACGGCTTTGAAGACAGGGTTGGGTGGGTTATTGGTGCAAAGGTAGTAACTTGTGTTTTTAAGTATCTAGGTAATGGAAAATTCATGAGAAAAATTACCTTATCCATGACCTTGAATTAGAGGTTGTAATATTTACGCTGGAGATTTTGGAGACATCACTGGTATAATTCTAAGCTTGAGGTATTTAGTGATCGTAAGGATTTTAAATATCTGTTTAACCATAGGAGTTGAATATGAGACAGAAGAGATAGTTGGGAATTGTTGAGGATTAAGATTTTAATCTTAGTTGTTATCGGGGTAAATCTAAAGTAGTGGTCGATGCTTTGAAACATCTATATTCATCTTTCTTTATGGTTAAAGAGATGTATCTTTTGGCTCAAATTAGAAATTTAAGTTTGACTTGTGAAATTACTCCTAGTAGTGAGAGACTAGGTATGACTCGAGTAACGAGTGGATTGTTGAAGGGTATTGAATAAGCATAATTAGTTGATTCATTTTGTGGCAAGGTATGAGGCTATAGGACAAGGTAATGAATAAGAGCTTGCTCGGAGTATAAATGAAGTGGTAAGACTTGAAGACCGAGTATGAGTACATAGTGAACTTACACTTAGGCGTCTAATCCTTGGAGAGGGTTATAAAAGTAAAACTAATATAGTGACAAATGCCCTGAGTAGGATGAGCATTCATCTATCATTTTGATGATATAAGGGTTGGATTTGATTGAGGATGTTAGAGACTTAAGTGTAATATGTAAGCTCACCCTTAAGAACATTGAATTGAATATGTTGAAAGGATTAATAGATTAATGGATGAGATTAGAG